AGTAGCTGACATTTTTCTTGTATTCCCTACTGAAGCGATATATTAAGAAGTCAGGTTAGCATACAATCATTGCAAGTGCCCAGCAACACTTTCAGAAATGATACATATTTAATAATTTTTAAATAATGTTTGAAGAATATTAAATTAAGAGTTTACTTTCAGTTTCATCTATAGAAAAATCACTGGTTAGCATTTGCAAATTAAAGCACTTGCTGACTTTAATAGTGTGATAACTGTATTATTAATAACAGCCCTGATACACAAGCAGGTGGCAAAAAAACATTCTAATAATTTAAAAGTGTCCTTTTACATGCATTTGAATAAAATGTTAAAATTTCAAATCTAATCCTACATTTTCTCTTTTAGACATGGATGCAGGTTTGGTTTGATGAGCACAAACATGATGAGTCCTGTACCTTGACCAAAACTGTTACCAAGATACCTTTCTTCTGTACATGAGAAGAAACATTTGTGGACAAATGTACTGTAATATCCTTATCAACACTAATAACTGATAGGTGAGACAAAGAAGTTCAACAGTAATTTATCAGAAATTATTTCTTAGGACTTTTTTCTCCAGTTATTGACTTAATACTGCAATAATTAGAGGTTACAAAGATAATGTTCTTTGTATAGATATATTCCTACATTTTCACATTCTTTGTAAAGAGACTGTGAGCAGCTACAAAAAAAGCCTACACAAAATGCTGCCTGAGTGGTAATCTCTGTACAGTCCCAACTTGCAATATGGTGTGTATCCATCAGAGAAACTGTACTGTCTGCTTCAGATCACCAGGACCCCTGCTGCACAGTGACAGTCAAATTAATTTTGAATCTGTGTAGTTTCTGTGTAGTTTATGCATCCCATATAGATACATAATAAAGTTTTCAGGGAATACCAGAATTTGATGTATTAGAATCATAGAATTATTAAGGTTGGAAAATACCTCTAAGACATTATGTAGAAATAAATCTCAGGAAAAGTCCTATAAACTACCTTTGAAAGTAACAGTTATGACAGAAGTGTTCCCTGTCAGAATAAATGCACAAACATACAAAACTTGCAAAGTTTATATATTTGAATCTCCACGTTTATAATTTCTCCAGTTTTAAACAATGTGTAGAAAGCAGTAGTAAGCTGCTCAATGTAATACTCTTTGATTACTAGAAGACTACATGCATGAGCTCTCGAGAACATGAAGGACATGGGAGTAAATACAGATCATAATTCAAGCTTGACTGCATTATTCCTTGGCTCTCATTACGTTCATACCCAGTGCACTGTAATGTATCACAGAGATACATGACAGCAGTGTTTCCTTGCCTACTTAAAAAAGTATCTGTAGAACATCTTGGATAATGCTGCCACAATGGTTTACTTTTACAACAAATTAAAAATGTGATGCATTGTGAATCCTCGTTGTTATTTTCTCCCATTCTCTTTTTGCTTTACATTAGAGAATGTCTCCATATGTTCTCCAATCATTGTGATGTCTTTAAGACTGCAAAAGTCAGTGCAGGACAAGTACAGAAACCATGAAGTCCCTGTAGGCTTAAAGGTCAGGCTTCATAAGCACAAAATAGAATAGAGCAAGGCAAGAAACTTGGAGTTATTCAAGACTTAACTTTAAAAACATATATATGAAGAGAAATATTCATTAATTAACTGCAAAATGTATTAAATTACTTTCATACAACAAGAAGATGCTAGACAATAGGAAAAAGAGGTTGAACTGGATGCATTACCGAATTTGAATGTTTGTCATATGAGTTTAGGACAGCAATTAACAAGATTTCTTTATGGGATACATTTTGAGACTGTACTACAAGACCTTCCCCTGGTCAAGTTTAGGCCCAATCTTTTCATTACCGTAAAACATAATTATTAAGCCAATCTGTCCAAGAAAGAAAGATTTAAAGCCCAAGCTGACAAGAAATGTCTAGCAGCCAAAAGGTTGACAGCAAACACAAAAATGGAACAGCAACAGCACTAAAAGAACAATGAATATAAGAAAGGAGGTGAAGATAATTAAATATATGAGCTAAGGAATATACACCATTCCTAATTAAAAAAAAGATATTAGAGGTCACCTTGGTTTTGAAACGCTATCCAATATCGCTGCTGGAGGTGATTTCAGGTAGAAATCAGATGAGGTTTAACAAAAGCAAGTGTATCTTGCACCTGGGAAGGAATGTATCAGCACAGGTTGTGGGGATGACCTGCTGGAGAGGAGCTTTGCGAAGAAGGATCTGGGGGACCTGGTGTGTGACAGCCTGGTGATAAGCCAGCAGTGTGCCCTGGTGGCCAAGAAAGCCAGTAGGATCCTGGGTTACTTTAAAAGGAGAGCGGTCAGCAGATCAAGGGAAGTGATCTCCCCCCTCCACTGTGTCCTGGTCAGGCCTCACCTGGAGTACTCTATCCAGTTCTGGGCGCCCTGGTATAAAAAAGACAGGGAACTCCTGGAGAGAGTCCAGCAGAGGGCCACAAAGATTGTAACTGGCCTGAAGCATCTCCCCCATGAAGAAAGGCTGGGTGACATGGGTCTGTTCTGCCTTGAGAAAAGAATACTGAAAGGGGAACTTATTAATGTTTACAAATATCTGAAGTGTGGGAGACAAACGGATATGGCCAACCTCTTTTCAATGGTCTGCTGGGACATGGCAAGGGGAAATGGCCATAGACTGGAGCATAAGAAGTTTCACACCAATATGCAAAAGAACTTTTTCACAGTGAGGGTGACGAAGCACTGGAACAGGCTGCCCAGGGAGGTTGTGGAGTCTCCTTCTCAGGAGATATTTAAGACCCATCTTGACACCTACCTGTGCAACCTGATGTGGGAAGCCTGCGTTGGCAGGGGGTTGGAGTCATTAATCCTCAGAGGTTCCTTCCAACCCTTACAGTTCTGTGATTCTGTGTGATTCACTGATTTATTGTCTGGAAATGCAATTGAGCCCAAGGATTATGAAGATTCAGTGTAGCCAGTGATGGAGAATGAGCAGAGAAAATACAAAGTAACTACAACAAATATGACTAGGAAAACATTAACAGAGATCAGACAGATAAAAATAATAAGAGCTGTGAGACACATCTACTACATTAGGAAGACAAAAAGAAAAGCCAGAGAGCGTTAGATGATGAGATGGCAAGCGAAATGTGCAATCAATCTAAAAAGCAAGAATATGTGGAATTCACCAAGGATCCAAAGCACACAAGCAACATGTGATATCTGAGACAAGCCACAAACACATGTAAAAAGAGTTACTGTAAGAAAGTGCAGCGTGAACCCTGTAAAATACAAACTAAAACTAAGAACCAACATACATACAGCTTTACATTCTTGGAGGCTGACTAATAAAAAGGAATTAAAGGTCAGTAACATGAAGACCCAGAATAAAGAGAAACAAACTGGTCAGAAAGAAGTGTGAAGTATATCTGAGAATAAAAAAAAGAACAGAACACATTTCTAACTTAATTTAGGACTGCGTGTAGCCAAAACACAAAAATGCATACAATTATTTGCTATAACTTGAGCTCACCATAATTTAAGTTTCATTTTGAACACTGCTATGGTTTGAAACATAACACAGGTAAGTTGATTTTCACTTTGAAGACACATGTTTAGCTCATTTAAACAAGCAGCCAAATCCATCAAAAAAGTAAAATCTGTGAGCCATTTTTCATCTTCACATTCTGGCACAGATTTTCCCTTTGATTTCATTTTGCAAATTGTAAGACCTTTTTAGCATTTTACCCCAACTTAGCCATCTTCCTTTGGAAAAGTAAATGATGTCGCCATAATCCATACTTTTAAGGAAGTCCTGGAATTGGCAATGATTCATTCCCTTGGACTACAAAAATTCACAGCTTTGATGACTATTTGCATGACATTGCCCATTTTTAAAGCTTTCACAAATAAATTTTTGTGATGTATAATGCAGTGACATCTCATCAAACTTTGAGTTGCCGGTGGCAATTGCATTGTCTTCTATTAATTTTATAAGTCCTGTTTTCTTACCAACCATCTCTGGTGCCATCAATAGCTATTAGCAGACAAATTATATCAGGACAAATTATATTTGCCACAATTTCCAAACGCTGCTTAATAAACTCACCATCAGTCAAAGGTGTTTTTTTTGTTTTTTTTTTTTTTTTGCACTCAATTAGCTACTATGTAGCTACCTTTTATAACAGAGTCCATGTGAGTTTTAACTATTTTAACGATTTTGTTGAGATGACAGACATTTTCTTTGTTCCCTGTTTTGCCCTTACATAGTGTTCCTTGCTATATATCAAATTTGGCAGTATGTTTCTGAATATAATGTCTTTTCAAACTGTAATCTTTGAAAACTGACATGCTTTTCTTACAAGTCAAGCATACCGCCATTCTATTTGTCTTGACAAAAACGTAGCAACCTGTCCATTTTTTCCTTCATCCGCAATTTTTCTTTTTCTGGGTTCTGTTTTCTTCTGAGATGCCATGAGTCAGGTTGAAATATTAGTACTGACAACCCTACCCTTGGTTCCAACCCACAGTGTGCTGAGCGCCCAAAGCAGTTTGGCAGTTGTGAGCAATGGGTGTGAGTCCAGGGCCAGGCTCCTCGGCACGGCAGAGCTGACACCATGATGGCATGAGGCAGAGGGTGTCCACAGTGCAGTTGTGCTGCGCTGCACGTGGTCCGCAGGCTGCAGGTTGGGCATATCTGACATATAGCATTTGCAAGATAAAAATATAACCACAACTCCTGTCTTTTCAACGACGTTGTCTTGAGTAATTATGGTTTTTTAGAAGAGAACTTTCTTCACACATATTTGTATACACACCAAACCAACATGGATGCATCAGTTGTACCAACACTTCAACATGTGACAAATTTATGCCAAAGCATATTCTGAAAGCTCTTCAGGGATAATTCTGATGCCAAAAAGAATTAGTAGCAACAAAATAAGAGCTTGTTGTCTGTTAAACAACACCAGCAGGACATTTAGATGTCATACCTACCTAAACTGTTATTGCTGCTAGTTGGCCAGGAAGCTATTCTATCTCTTAACTTTTTCTTTTTACAAGAGTCATCTGATTTCACAGAAAGCTCCACTTCCTCCTTCCTGATTTCTCGCACCAGTTGCATGCGACACTGACTAAAATCCTGGAAGGAAATCTTTCCATTTTCATCTGCTCCCAGCTGGTGCATGATCTCAGCGACAGACTCCTCCATATTCAGCTGGCGGCACACCATCAGCAAGTCATTCCTAAGAATATTTTTAGAGGGAAAATTGGGGTAAGGGAGGGAGAAAAGTGCAAGAAAGATTGGATAAATGGGAATGGAGAAGAAAAAACAAGAACAGTTTAGTTTGGAAGGAATACTAACTGTTTAATTTTGAAATGCACAAATGTACAGACATTTAAACCCAATAAGCCAACTACTGTTTTCTATCAATCTATGACCTGAAGTTGGAAAGAAATTGGAACACAGAAAGATCATGGAAACGCAAAAGATTTCTTCTTAAGGATTAATTTCATGCTATTTTCAACACTTCAACTACCAGAGACATAAATGAGAGCTGAATCATGCTGTTGATCTTCAGAGTAAGGTGACATACTAAGAAATTAAATCATTACATTTCAGCTGGATCAATAGCAGTTTTGATTTCCATTTTATTTGGAGTAGAGAGAAATCTCTTTTGCTGCTGAACAGCAGTAAGTTAAAGAGGAAAAAGGTATTTATGGCCAAAGAAAACATCAGAAAGGAGCATTTGGAATAAATGTTTTCAAGCCTGTCTCCAAATACCATGACTGCAAAATCCTCTCAAGAAGATTGCTTGGTCTAACTGTTCAATGAAACTCAAAGCAGAGGGGAGGGCAGTATTACATAAAATACTCTGACGCTGAGTGCAAGCAGCTGAAAGACAACTGCAACCAAGTCAACAAGGTAGTTACTGAAAGCGTGTGATATCCTTAACAAATGTATACAATGTGTTCTTTGGATAAATACATATAAATACACGTAAGCATACTGCTAAAGAACAAACCAGCCAGCAACACTAAGGTCAATGTTATTTTCTATTTTGTGTGAAGAATGAAAGAATCTCAAGGACATACCTTAGACCTTAGACTTAATTTGAAGCTAAACATCCTCAGCAGAAGACGTTCTGTTTGCACACCATTATTAAAATTACATTAAGTTTGCTGAAAGAATTCTCAGTAATTGTGGTAAAAGCCACAATATGAATCAGAAGTGGACGACTAACAGTGAATAAAGTGAACTTATTAGACAAACATCTGACATTCTCTAGCAATGACTTCAGAAAATGGAGGCTCTTTCTGAAGAGACCGTCATATTTGCCTTTTTCAAAATGTAAACCGCTAAAAAAAAGAAAAAAAGAAAAAAAGCCACTGCCATTCGGAACTCAGCAACTGTAAATCAAGACTGAATAATCTTCCTAAGCATTCCTTGTTACAACTTCTCCAGCAACTGAAGGAAGAGATACATATATGTCAAATAACAGTCGCACTCGAAATAAAACGTGAATGATAATCCAGACCTCAATCAACAGCTGCCCTACACTATCAAAAACTTGGTGCAACATTCTCTCCATTTTCAAAGGAAAATTACAAAAATTATCACTACTTTGGCAGTCTCACCCTTTGCTATTTCTTTCCTGCAATTGCCTGTCGTGTCAATACCTACCCGCTCTACAGATAAAGCTATCTGCTGGGTGGAGCATACTAAGAGCTTCTCCAGCAGATTTTTTGGCAGAGATTTTTGTAATGAAAATGAACTGCAATAACAACACAACAACAAATGCTATGAGCATGCATTTTAGCATAGATTGCCAGATAGGACAAGAAATTATTATAAGAGAATTAAATTACATGCATCAACCATAAGTAACTGATATTTGTGTTTAAAATTTTGGTTGGAGTTTTGTGCTTGGCATTTAACCTGGACAATGAACAAATAAGTAAATAAAACCTATCACGGCTCTGTTCCTTTATTTTATTAGTTAGGATAACAATACAGACCAATCTAATAAGGATGCTGCAAAGAAAATTAAAGATGACAAAGCATTCCGATTTTCACAGGGGATACAGCTATGCTATGTCTATACTAAAAATTCAAACCAGAGCTAACCTGAATTCAGATGCCAGCAATTAAATCTGACATCAACCCCCAGATTTAACAACAGTAGTGATGTGGTGGCATTGACATCAACTGTTTTAGGCTTCACTTCACTTATAGCAACAAATTTAATAAAAGCCATTTACAAAGCACCTTTTAAGCATTTTAAGTTATATGTACTCTTAGACCAGATAAGATACTGTGCTGCACATGGATGGAGTTCAAGGACTGTTTGGACAATGCTCTCAGAAATAGGGCTTGAATTTTGAGTGGTCCTCTATGGAGCCAGGAGCTGGAGTTGATGGTCATTATGGGTCTTGACTTGAAACAAACTTGAATTATTCGGACTCTACATTTTCAGCTACTGAAAAGGTTTTGTGGTAATTTTACAAGGACACATTTTATCTTTGCTTATGCAACCTGCAGTTGCCTCAAGAAAAATAAAGATATATTTTTGGTCTTAATTTCTTCATCAGTCTTCACTTCAGACATAGGTCAAACAAATACTTCTGTGAAGGACCTCACTTTTTTCTGCAAGCCAGAGATTTCCTGCAATTCACAGATGTTTTCTGCCCCACAAATCAGCTTCCTACAGGTTGAGAAGTAGCTCTACACTCTGAAATTCAGTTTTTCTACTCGTCTTTCTTGTCTGTCAATCTGGCTCCCCAAAGTAGCCTGTCTCCAGCTTCCTTTGCTCTGTTTCTGCTTCCCCACACAAAGAAGTGAGAACTGTGGAATCAGTTTTTTAGCTTTCTGCTGTCAAAAGAGGTAATCCCACTCCTTCCATGTTCCTCTACTAAGGCAGTTAAAACAGCATAAAACTGATCATGATAACAAGAATAGCTTTTGTTGACTTAGTTCCATGTAGCAGTTTACGACAGAGGAAGGAAAGCCAGCACCACTCTCTTCAGAGGCAAAGTAGTCTCTTGATTACCAGTATCATCAGACAGTTGCCTCACTTCCTTCATCTGCAATTCAGCGTCCTACCAGAGTAGGCACCTGAAGAACCTGGGGCAACTCCCTTATGTGTGCAGACCTTCAGCAGACACAATCTGACAATTCTGTCACATTGACCAGCATGCAAACATTACACAAATCCATTCATCATCGTCCCTTATAGGGACAGGACAAGGGGAAACAGTTTCAAACTATGCCGGGAGCTTCAGATTAGGTGTTGGGGAAATTTTTCACTGAGAGAGTGATAAGGTGGGGTAAGACATTGACCTGGGGAGGTGGGCATCCCATCCTTGGACATATTCAAGGCTAGGCTGGACGGGCCCTGGAAGAATTTAAACTAGAGGATCTTTGAGGTCACAGAATCATAGAATGGATTAGGTTGGAAGGGACCTCAAAGATCATCAAGCTTCAACCCCTCTGCCGCACGCAGGGACACCAACCTCCACTTTTAATACAAGACCAGGCTGCCCAGAGCCCCATCCAACTGGGCCTTGAACACCTCCAGGGATGGGGCACCCACAGCCCCTCTGGGCAGCTTGTGCCTGCACCTCACCGCTTTCAATCTAAGCTATTCTATGATTCTATGATCACAACAGCTGCCTTCTAGTTCACTAGTTTCACTGCCAGAAAACAAACAAACAACAAACAAACAAACAGATAAAAACCTAATCTCCTTCTTACAAATGTAACTACAAATGTCCAACTGAGAAAACTACAGCATCACACAGAGACTGCAGGAATCAACTCATACAAAGTTTGGGGAGTAAAGCAGAGATAAGAGCCACCAACAATTGCAAGATAAAGTTAGTCTTCAGTAAGATCCACCAGAAGATTCACAGAGGGTCAACGTTTGTTCAGAGAGAGTTACCAGAATAACCTCTATCAGAATTTTAGATGGCGAAAGAACTAGCTAGGTATCATCACATAAAGCAGGTTGTACGAAATATTTATTTCTTAATCTGTACCTAAAGAAGTAAGTCATTACAATTCCACGGCCTTCTAACATATCCACCTCACAAATACAATGCTCCAAGACTCTCAGATCCACAACATGCACGAACAGCACATAAAACCTAAACACTGAGTAGTAGAAAGATCAAGTGCCTTTTGGATCATGCAGCCTTTAAAAGGAGCAGAACTTTGTAAGTGGATTTTTTGTGCCATTTGCTAACCATTTCTAAACAATTCCAAGCCCTCTAGGGCCCAAACTGTCAACTGAGAAACACTATTATCATAATATCACAAACTCAGAAATGAGACAGAGTGGAGGAGCACAGCATTGGCCACACAATGCCAGCATTTTTTCAGGACAGAATTTACTAATCTATGCACTAGAAGCACAGTACTGCTTCAAACTATTTTAAAGAACAACTAACTATTCCTGTTCCTATTCAAGCATGACCTATTCTCCTATCCTGGACAGAGGGCAGAGTACCAGAGCATGCAGTTGATGATACCGGATCATGTGGAAAGAAAAACTTCAGGAGAAGAAAAAAGAGATACGGTAGTTTGGAGGGAAGGAATAAGTCAGGAGCCCATGGTGGGAAACAGAACGAGAAGGCAAAGGAAAGGTATGAAGTGCAAGGATATTTTGTGTTTTAAATCCAAGGAGGAGTAATGAAGAGCTCAATTTTCAGGATTGTGCTGATCAACTGAATGAGCTTTATGTTATTAAAGTGTCACCCTACAGAAGTACAACACATAGCGATGCCTTGGAAAGACTGTGAAGAAAATTTTGGTACAAGTATACCTGTGTCATTCGTGACAATTAGAATCTCAGCTTTTCTTATTAAAGCCTCAACAGCCTCACACATCACAGTCTTCCCCAGCAAGTTTTGTGACTTAAGACTTCCCGGCTACAATTCAGAATGCTATTTGAGAAAGGAAGTTGACTGTTTGGTTCCTTTGAAACCATTACCTGATGTCCCATCTTCTGTTGAATAAAGAACTGAATTTTTCTGCAGGTCTAATCAATGCAGTGAACTGTTCTGGTCTCCACCAGATCTATCAACTTGACACATGATGGCATGCAAAATTAGCACACACTAAAAGCATATACTGAAAACAAACCAACAACCCACACATACTAAAACGAGTAGAAAAGTTCAAAGCAAAAGTCCTTTCTTTCAACAGCATGATATCAGAATTCAGATTTAATTAAGCTTATTCATT